AACACATAAACATATTTATCAAAACAAGACTCACTTACAAATATGATAACAGAGACAACATGATTGATAATCAACTAAATTGTTGTTGTTGTTGTTGTTACGGTACACTAGTAATACAGAAGACTTTCTCGTAGAGGAGAACACCTCACATTTATCACAGACTCTAATTTTCAGATATTTTACCAAATAAAATCATTTAAATGAATTTTCATTTTGGCAAGCAAATATTCATTCTGTACCTTCTGGTTTTGTGCCTTTTGTGAGGGAATGCTTATCACCTACTCCTCTTTTAAGTTCCCACACTGTACTTGCTCTGTTCCATATTCCCTGTTTGTTTCCTGAGAAAATTTTTTTTCTCCTGGGCCATGGATAACAAACGCAAAATCTGCAAGATCTGCAACAGAGCTTTCGCCAATGGGAAAGCAATGGGCGGTCACATGAGATCTCACCTTGCGAAACACCCCGTCCCTCCCAGACGCAATCCAACCCCGCTTCCCACTCCCGATTATCCAACCCGTTCATCTCCCATTTCTCCGTTCTATTCCTCCTCGGAAACCTCGCCACCGGAAAAATCTGATCTCGCCGATGGGGAGAGCGATACAGAGTCATCACCAAAGACCAGTACTAATCTAACTCGGACGAGATCCAAACGGCGGCCTAAGTTCGTGGTGAATGCGGTGCAGGTGCAGTTATCGTCGGCTCATCCAGAGCCAGAATCGGTAAATTCTTTTTCCGAAGCTTTTCCTGATGATGAAGTTGCTATGTGTCTCTTAAAGCTTAAAAGGGACAAATGGTCCAAAGAGTTCAAGAAAGAAGTCATCAAAAGAGGACGAGAAGAGGAAAATGATCAAGAAGAAGAGGATGAGAATGTTTCTTTCCTCGTCACTCGTGCTCCCAAGTCTCAATACAAATACAAGTGTAGAATATGCAAGAAGAGATTCCGATCTCACCAGGCACTAGGGGGCCACAAGGCGAGCCACAAGAACAGCAAAAAGTATGATCCAAACGAAGGAGAAAGTGGGTATGTTAATGGCTACATGAATCAAAGGAACTTTGAATGTCCATTTTGTGATAAAGTTTTTGAATCAGGTCAAGCTCTTGGTGGGCATAAGAAAGTTCATTTTTCTTACTTGACTGTTGTTAAGAAAATACCAGAGAAATCTGAGACTCAGCATAGCTTTTTAGATCTCAATCGTTTTCCTGAGGAAGACGAAGAAGTTAGCCAGGTTGAGTTCTCTTCAGTTTCCAATGCAGAGATAATGCATGGCAGAGGTAATTAACAACAAAAATAACTCCCTTTCATTGTCGTCTATCGAACAAACAAGTTAGTGCTTTGTTATTTTTAAGATCCTTTGATGCGGAATCATCATTTCGGTTAAGTTATGTTGTTTTTATTGATAAAACCAAAGACTCATTTGGATTTAGACAATTTCAGGTTAATGTTTTTATGTATATACAATTTGCTGTTGTTTCATTATTTGAAGTTTGGAGAATTATAGATTGTTATAAATTATCATGCTTTCTTGATTGCATGAAATTCATGACTCTGAAATCTCTCTATAATACTGTATTAGAAAGGCTGCTGCTGCATGTTTTCTTTTGCTTTTTTTTTTTTTTTTGGTGGTCAAAAGAAATCTCCAATGGTAGATAGAAGAATAGATGTAACGGATTTCGGTGCAAGCATAAATATGGGAATTTAATTTTAATTTAATTGTATGTTAATGTGTGTACATAAATACCACAATTTCTTACTTTTGTATTTAAATATTTAAAGAGATTTGTTCTGTTCATTCTGGGGGAAGAAGTTACAACGAAGCTACCATGGTCCATGAGTACACTCGTAGTTGGTTCTCCTTCGGAGAATAAAGAAAGTGTACATGTAACATCCTTTTTGTTTTTCTATGACAGATACGTAGAAATTACTCTCTACTTGTCAGCATGCTTATTTTTCATAGGCAATTAGAAAATTTTAGTAAGATTATAATTTTTTAAATATTTTTTAAAATTAATGAAAATTAAGAAAATATATGAATCAAACTACGTACTCATGAATCATTCGACTTGAGCTCAAGTAACAGTCAGACTCGAGCTTGAGGTTGATTTAAGACTCAAAATAATTTTGAGCTCAAGCTCAAGTAGGGTTGAAAGTTGGCCTCACTTGAGCTTGAGTTCAAGCTCGATTTTAATTAAAAAAAATTGATGATATATTTAATTATATAAATTATCATCTCTTTTTTGTGTGGAGAGTTTAGGAGTTGAACTCGAGCTCACCTTTGGACTTTCAAACTTGTCACTATATACTTGAGTTCAAGATCGAGTATTGAACTGGTTGTATTTGGTTCAACTCGATTCGTTTACATCCCCTAGTGGAAATCAACTCCATAAAGTTTAGTTTTTTGTATATTGATTGGGAAATAATTTAGCAATAATTTTTATGTATAATCTTTTCTTATAGACTTTATATGTCATTTAATTATTAGTTTTTTTCATTATAGGAAAACTGTGTATATATC